GTGTGCCCTTGGGCAAATGACTCAACCTCTCTGAGCTTCTGCAGTGAGACAGAAATACCCACTTCACAGGACTGCCATCCCTTCCCTTCCTTGGACATCTGGAATTCCTGCCCTGCTCCTCAAACTTCCAGACTGTTCGCATGTCCAGGCTGAGTTCCTCCCAGACTGAATATAAAACCTTTTTGTTCCAGAAGCCTGGTCTCTAGGATCAGTTTGATACAAATCAGTAAGGCCTTGTTCCTCTGGGAATTTCCCTCATAGATTCCCTCATATGTATGCATGAGAATATACACCAAAGCTCCATGTATAGGAGCAAAAGGCTGGAAATGAACTACATGCCCATCAGAAGAGACAGATTAGTGAGTTACATGCCATCTATATACCATGGGTACCACATAGCCACAGCAAAGAGGTAGCTCTCTGCATACTAACAATATGCCATTTCCGAGATAAAGTAAGGGAAAAAGAAAGGTATGGAACAGAATGTTTAATGACTCAGCTGGGGGTCAGGATCTGACACAGAACATGGAAAATGACATAAGGAAACATCCTCAGTTCACCCTAGGATTGTTCATCACTAGTACCACTCAGGATGCAGAGGAAAGAAGCTAATTCCTTACACACAATGATCCTGTGAGCCATTAAGGAAACCCCACTGAGAAAGGCCAACCAGATGGTCTCTGAGAAACTGATAATGCAATTCCTGAAATGGGGAATCAGGAGACTACGGGTAGGTGTATAAAGAAGTCACTTATTACTAATCAGATCAGTGGATACTTATAATATTTTGCCACAGACACGAATTTTTAAAATGAAAGCAAACCAAGAAAAGAAAGCAAACCATTTTAAATAAGAGTTTGAGGCTCATATGTGTGAATTAATAATAATAGTAATGTTCTTCTACCTTGTGCAAGGCTCATAGTGACCCCATCTCCCCATCTTTAAAATGGAAGGAAGATCAGGAGAAGAGACCGGATTGCTATTCTCACGTCCTAGGGCCCACCGCTGTGATCCAGGCCTGAGGCCCACTGCCAGATTTCAGCAGGGCTGTCCTCAGAGGTGTGGGATGTCACCATTGAGGGCCACCTCTAATTTGGGCACGAGTTCTAGGTCCTAGCAATTGGAGCTTGTTGCTTACACCAGTTCCCAGGGAGCAGGATCACGGTAGCCTCTGGCTCAAAGGGTCTAATTTTAAACCCTGGGTTCTGGGCAGACAGAACAGAAAGGTCAGATCCTGACTACCTCCAAGATGCATGCCCTTTAAAAAGATGACCCTGAGTGCAGAAGACAGGAGACAGGAGATAATCTCTCCCTACGCCTTCCTCTCTCCCTCCTTTGCAAACTCCAGTGAGTGCCTTTCTGCCGGGGTGCCCAGCGCGGAAGCAGTGACCCAGGGCAGTCCCCATTTCACCCTGAGTCTCAAAGCTGCTTGATCTCAAGGATCCCATCTGAGGTCATCGGTTCAAAACAGATCACTAGCCTCCAGTCAGGTGATCTATTAGGACTTCTTATTTCTCAAATGGCTTTCACTTGTTTGGGGTTTTGGTTTGTTTGTTTCATAATTTGTTCAGATCAGAATCCCAAATGATATGTGCACCTGGCAATTGCTTGCTGTGGTTCCAAATCTCCTGTACTCTACTGATTTCCTCTCCATTTATTACTACTTTCATCCTTATTATTCCTCTCCCTCCCTACGTCTCTCTCCTTGCAATTTATCTACAGAAGAAAGTACCTGTGTATCTATAGAGCTGCCCACTTCTGAAGTTGGCTGACTGCATCTTCAAGGTGCCACTTAACATGTTCCTCTGTCCCCTGTAGTTCCTGTAAATTGTTCAGATCTAGGGATTTGATCAAATTCAGGTTTGAGTTCAGGGCAACACTACTTCCTGGGTGCCGCGTGTTCGTGCATCAGGAGGTCACTGTCTTTTTGTGCTGTGAGCAGCTGTAGCTGCCAGTTCATCCATTGGGGCAACACACAATGAGTGTCTAATTTGATCATTTTGCTACATTTTAAAGCAGGCATAGCAAGTTTAAAGCTTAAAGCAAGTTTCTATTTCTCTAAACAGAAAGGTAGACTTACTCATGATGCTTTCTCTTTCTTCAGCAGCTTAAATCCCTTTCGGTACAATAAATATGTGCTGGCAGACACATCTCTCTGAACCTCTGAGGGCCCACCTGTAAAATGGGGACGCTGCTCTACTCACAGAGCTGTTCTGGTATGTGCGCTCAGCTCTCTCGTTAAGGCTGCGTGCAGGCAGACTTGCTACGAACCGCAGAACCAGGCACGCAGCAGGGTTTTTCAGCCTCCTCCCAACCTCTCACCCAGCCTCCATCCCAAACCCCACTGCTGGGAGATGGCAGAAGCCAGCAGGCCTTCCCTTGAAAGTGAAAATGTCAGTCACTCAGTTCTGTCCAACTCTTTGGGACCTCATGGACTGTCGTGTCCTTGGAATTCTCCAGGCAAGAATACTGGAGTGGGTTGCCATTTCCTTCTCCAGGGGATGTTCCCGACCCAGGGATCGAACCCAGGTCTCCCACATTGCAGGCAGATTCTTTACTGTCTGAGCCACCAGATAAGCCCATGTGCATGTGCAAGGAATTTGTGCATGGCCTTCCTTCCGCAAACCCGGTTTGTGGTGGATGACCCTCTGCATGCCTGCTGTGGGAATTCCCTGAGATAATACAGCAGGGGCCTGACCTCCAGAGAAACCCAGTATGGGTCCCTGGTCTTTCTCCCAGCATTCCCCCTTCAGGATACACACAGGTACACGTCCCAGTGTACACACACAGCCCAGTGTGTACACACACACACACAAACACACACACGGCCCTGACCTGTTCTCCCAGCATTCCCCTTTCAGGATACACACGCATACACACACACCCCAGTGTATACATACAGCCCAGTGTGTACACACACACTCCCAGCACTATCCCTTCGGGAGGCCCTATTGTTCAACCACTTCCCCAGCCGGGAGGGGGTGGCCTGCGGGGCCCTTCCTGCCTGCGCTGACGTGAGGCCTGCGGAAGGAACAGCGCGTCTCAGGCCCCTGCATTCCTTTCGGCCCCGCCCGGCCGCACGCACGTCCGCACCTCCAGCGGCGTCCCAGCGCCGGTCCCAGCGCCCTTGGGCCGCGGTCGTGCTCCCCACCTGTCCCGGGAGGGGGCTTCTGGGGAGTCTGGGGGTCGGGGACCAGATGCCCGCAATCTCTCTGAAACTTCCCGCCCCCGCGGGGGTGGGCTCAGTCGCCCATTCAACAGCTGAGCAAAGTGGAGGCCAGAGGCAGCTAGGATGCCCAGGGCAACAGGGCGGAACCGGGGCTCATGGCTGGCGGCCTTGTGTTTTTTAACCTACACCACGTGTTTTCCCCACTTCACTGCCGGGGAGGGAGCAGGAGAGAAGACGGCCAGGCAGGAGGCTTCGGTACCCAGGTGCCCCACGGTGCAGCCAGCGGGGGTCCGTGGGACCACTAACACAGCGGATTTATGTGACCAGGTCTTGTCACCTCAAAAGGGATGAGCAGTGGGAAAGGAGCCGTCACTTCCTGAGCACCTACCAAGGTCCGGCTTCCTGCGATGACATTCCTCGAGCCTCATGACAACCTTACCAAATAGCTACTGTTTTCCCCAGGTTGAGTGTTTGGCTAGGAAGTGACTGAACCTGGGTTTTCTTAAGTCCAAAAATCATCCTTTTTCCTGGCATAACCCGGGGACCCTGGCCCCAGAACAGCAGAGTTCCGATCCTGGCGCCATTAACTCAAATGCTGTTCAGCAGTGGGCTTCACCCCACAGAGCCTCAGCTTCCTCATATAAAATGGTGCGCTCCGTCCCTTAGGTGCGGCCCACTCTTCGCCACCCTCCAGGTTCTTCTGTCCATGGGATTTTCCAGGCAAGAATACCGGAGTGGGTTGCCATTTCCTTCTCCATGTAAAATGGAGACAATAGCAGTACCTGCTGTGTAGGATGATGGTGAACATTCTGGCAGATGATGCAGGTGGTTCTTTCTTAATCTTATTAATTCATTTCTGGAGCTAAATCGGGCTGAAATGGAACTCAGGTGACTGACTGCCCCAGTTGCCAGTGCTAAAACCAGGATACCCTAGGCAAGCTATCAGGGATGGTCACCCATCGTGATGCTGGTGTTTGTGACAGTCCGTGCTGGTCTCTAGAAGGTGGGAGGACAGCCCTTCCCTGCTCTCACTGCTGGTGAATTTTCCCAGAAGCCCTTAGGCCTCAGGCCCTTTGTCCTGGTCTCCATTCTCTGCCCTTGCATAGCCAAAGGGAAACCAGACATTCTCGACAGAAAAATTTTCCACATCCTTCAGGGCAATCTTCTGGTGCCAGAAATAGTCAGCAGGATTTGGGAATCAGCCCAGGCCACTAAAAATAGCTCCCATGGCCCCCTAGAAGGCTTGCCCCATCTTGGCCCCGGGTGGCCTGCCACCCAGCCAGCTGTCTGACCCAGCCAGCACCTTAAATGACCATGAGCTCTGCTAGTCCTGCCGACCAAGGGCAGCAGACCCAGAAAAGCCTGGCTCCTTCTTAGCTTCCTCAGGCCAGCTTTCAGGTCAGAACCACTCTGGCCTGCCCCCCAGAGATGGTCCTTCCTCTACCCCATGGCGCATCCTTCCCCTCCGTCCAGACAAGACGGCACATTGCCTGAGTTCACATCCAGACAGTCACACGAGGTCCTCCGCGATGCTCACACAAGCAAGGACACAGCAAGGACACAGGCCCCCTCCCTGACCACCTATCCCATGCATAACAGCACCTGCAAAACAGTGACACGCACGCACACACCAAGTATCTATTTTCTATTTTCTAGTATCTGTTTTCAACTTCTCAGTTGTCTCTATACCTTCTTAATTAAAGCAGTGTTTCCAAATCTTTAATACCTTTGCCTCGATGTCTCTGCAACCCCTCCACCTTGCAAATGCTAAGGAGATATTCACTTTTTGCTATTGGTACCCAGGGTTAAAAAAAGAAAAGTAAATAAAAGGATGACTATGCATTTTCAAGCTAGTCAATACCTACAGTTCCTAAGATTTCATATCTGCCCCCTCCCTCCCTCCTTTCACATCAGTGAAGTCCAAGAGCGACAGAGAGGATGGCTGGGGGCACTTGTGGGGGCTCCAGGTTCCCGCCAAGTCTCCCAGCCTGAGGTTCACAGTCCTGGTCTGAGGTGGGTGGGGGGCAGAAAGGTGCTCTGCCAGGAGAGGGGCCAGGCCAGGAGACCAGTACTCCTGGGGCATCGCTGCCTGCTGGAGCAGACACACCGCCTCTGTTGTTCAGTTGCTATGTCGTGTCCGACTCTTTGTGACCTCATGGACTGCAGCACACTAGGCTTCCCTGTCCTTCATTATCTCCCTGGGTTTGCTCAAACTCATGTCCCTTGGGTCCGTGATACCATCCAACCATCTCATCCTCTCTCATCCCCTTCTCCTCCTGCCCTCAATCTTTCCCAACATCAGGGTCTTTTCCAGTGAGTCAACTCTTCGCATCAGGTGGCCAAAGTATTGGAGCTTCAGCTTCAGCAACAGTCCTTCCAATGAACATTCAGGATTGATTTCCTTTAGGATGGACTGGTTGGATCTCCTTGCAGTCCAAGGGACTCTCAAGAGTCTTCTCCAACACCACAGTTCAACAGCATCAATTCTTCAGCACTCAGCCTTCTTTACAGTCCAACTCTCACGTCCGTACATGAGCACTGGAAGAACCATGACTTTGACGAGACGGACCTTTGTTGGCAAAGTGATGTCTCTGTGCTCCCTGCTGTTTGTTGTTGTTCAGTTGCCCAGTCGTGTCCGACCCTTCCTGACCCCAGGGACAGCAGCACGCTGGGCCTCCGCAGCACCTCCGCAGACCAGACTGAGTCCATGGAAGGCACGGAAGGAGTTGGGCTTTGTTCTGGGCGCTGTCTGTGCTGTTGCCCAGACCCCACCCTGGCCTGTCTGCCTTCTTTCTGGGAAGAAAGCGGAAGCAGTCCTCCATGGAGTGCAGGCCACATCCTCGTCCTGTAGAAAAGCAGAGGAGAGAGAGCTGCCTGCTAGGGTGTGACAAGCCCCAAGCGAAGGCCAAGGAAGGAAGTGGAATTCCACGCAGGCATCCCCACCCCATTCCTGCGCTGGCCTGGGCCAGGTCCTTGCCCCTCACTCCACCTCAGCTCCCACTGACAGGCAGTTTCAGACAACCTGTGGTCCTTCCCATTCGTGCATTCCTTCACTTCCCCAGGTGTTTCTTGAGTACCTGCTATATTCCAGACCTGGTCTAGGGCTGGGACCGCAACTGTGAAAGAGATTGAGAGGGGCCCTGCCCAGCAAATGACGGGGGCTTACGGTGCAGATGGGGGAGCAAAAATAAACACTGTGACTCTGGACCAGAAGCCAGGCCCGGGCCTGCCGGGGGCTTCTCGCTGTCTGATAAGCGTTGGCTGAGTGGGCGCAGCCCTTGCCGGGAGTGGTCTGTAGTCAGGTAGCAAGGGGCGGGGGTGTGGGAGTGGAGGGAGGGGCCTCTGGAGTGAAGGTATTCAGGCAGGACCTCTCTGAGAAAGGGAGAAGCCAGCCTCACAAAGGAGAGTGCGTGGTGGTGTGTGTGAATGCATGAGTGCTTGTGAATGCATGTGAGTGTGAGTTTGTGTGTGAGAGCATATGTATCTGAGTGCGAATATAGGTGCGTGTTTGAGTCTGTGGGTGTGTGACTGCAGGTGAGTGTGGGGGTGTGTGAGTGTCGGTGTGAGTGTGTGTTGGGTATGGGGGTTTGAGTTCCAGGTGGAGGGAAGGGTACAAATGTTCTGCAGTGGGACAACACCACCTGTTTATTGAAGTAAATGACAGAAAGTAGAGATTCAGTGAGAAAACTGAGGTGGTGTGGGGAGAGGTGCTATGCCAGTAGCAATATGTAGGGGGCGCTTGTCACCGGCCAGACACCATGCTACATAGGGACTCGTTTAGCCCCACAACTTGAGGATTATTCCTGTTATTAATCCATTATACAGATGAAGAAACTGAGGCACCAAAAAGTTAAATAACTTCCCCACGATGACAGAGTTTGAACCGTGGCTTCAGGGAGCTCTCTTTTAACGGCTCTGCCAGGCACCAGGCTAATTGAGTCCATGGAAGCCAGGGAAAGAGCTGGGCTTTTATTCTGGGTGTGATTGGAAGTCACTGCAAGTTTCTAAGCAGAAGTATGACTTCAGGCGTTAGTCAGAATTAGGTTCAGGTGCAAGAAAAGTCCAGTATAATAGTGGCTTAAACAACAGGAATATAGAATAGAGTTTTCTCACACGAAAAAAACCCCACCAGATTCCAGAGAAAGAGAAGACAAACCACAGGCTGGGAGATAAAGGACTGTTATCCAAAATATACATACAAACATCTTAAAACTCAACAGTAAGGAAATAACCTGATTTTTTCTTTTCTTTTTTTTTGATCGTGCTGCCTGGCATGTGGGATCTTAGTTCCCTGACCAGGGTTAGAATCTGGGCCCCCTTACAGTGGAGGTGCAGAATCCTAACCACTGAACCACCAGGGAACTCCCACAACCTGATTTTTTTTTTTAATGGGCAAAAGATATGAACAGACAGCTTACCAAAGAAGATATAAGTATGGCAAATAAGCATATGGAAAGATACCCAACATATGTCACTAGGGAATCACGAGTTAAAACAAGATATCAAAATAAGATACAAGGATATATTGTACAACACAGGGAATATAGTCAATATTTTAAAATAACCATAAATGGAGTATAACCTTTAAAAATTGTGATTCACTGTATTGTACACCTGTAACTTATGTAATACTGTATGTGAACCATACTTAATTAAAAACAAAAACAAAAATATCACTACACACCCATTAAAATGGCCAAAATCCAAAACACTAACAATACCAAATGCTGGCAAGGATGTGAAGCAACAGGAACTCTCAATCAGTGCTGTTGGGACGGCAATGGGTGCAGCCAGCTTGGAAGACAGTTCGTCAGTTTGTTACAAAACTAAACATGCTCTTACGACACAGTCCCGCAGTCATTCTCCTTGTTACTTATCTAAAGAAGCTGAATGCTAATATCCATGAACCCAGAGCAGCTTTATTCATAATTATTTATAATATTTATTTATGAGTTATAAGTATGTATTCATAATGCCCAAACTTGGAAGCAACCAAAATGTCCTTGAGTAGACGAAAGGATAAGTGAATGGTCATACATCAGACAATGGAATATGATTCAGCTATTAAACCATGAAAAGACATGCAGAAAATTTAAATGTGTATTGGTAAATGAAAGAAGTCAGTTTGAAAGAGCTACATACTGTATAATCATAAATGACATTGTTGTTGTTACTGTTCAGTCGTTAAGTTGTGTCTGACTCTTTGAGACTCCATGGACTGTAACACACCAGGCTCCTCTGTCCTCCACTGTCTCCTGGTGCTGTGTGCTAAGTTGCTTCAGTTGTGTCCAACTCTTTGCAGCCCTATGGACCATAGCCTGCCAGGCTCCTCTGTTCAAGGGATTCTCTAGGCAAGAATACTGGAGTGGGCTGCCATTTCCTCCTCCAGGAGATCATCCCAGCCCAGGGATCAAACCTGTGTCTCTGACGCCTCCTGTACTGGCAGGAGGGTTCTTTACCACTAGCACCATACTGTCTCCCGAAGTTTGCTCAGGTTCCTGTCCACTGAGTAGGTGATGCTATCTATCCATCTCATCCTCTGCCGTCCCCTTCTTCTTTTGCCTTCATTCAGTCCATGGGATTCTCCAGGCAAGAATACTGGAGTGGGTTGCCGTTTTCTTCTTCAGTGGACCCCGTTTCATCAGAACACTTCACTCTGATCCGTCCGTCTTGGGTGGCCCTGCAGGGCATGGCTCAGTGAGTTATGCAAGCCTCTTTGCCACAGCAAGGTTGTAATCCATGAAGGGGGAGTGACATTCTGGAAGAGACACAGAGACAGTAAAAGGATCGGTGGTTTCCAAGGGTTCCAGGTAGGGGAAGGACTGCATAGGTGGAGCGCAGGATTTTTTCTTTGCTGTTGCATGTGGCATGAGGGGGTCTTAGTTCCCTGACCAGGGGTCAAACTAGTGCCCCCTGCAGTGGAAGCTTGGAGCCTTAACCACTGGACTGCCAGGGAAGTCCTGATCACAGGATTTTTAAGGGACTGAAACTACTCTGTAAGATACTATGATGGTGGACACATGTCATTATATACTTATCCAAACCTGTAGAATGTACAACGCCAAGAGTGATCCCTAATGTGAACTGTGGACATTGGGTAATGATGTGTCATTGTAACAACGTCCTACTCTGGGGCTGTATGTTGACAGGCAGGAAGCCTGGGGCCTGTATGCGGAAGAAGATACATGGGAACTCTCTGTGCTTCCCAATTTTCTCTGAATTTAAAACTGCTCTAAAAAATAAAATCTACTAAAAAAATTTTTAACTACTGATACAGACAAAATGGACTATGCTAAAAGAAAAAAAAAAGCATGCTGATTGAAAAAATGCAGAAAGAATACTATGTGATTCTATTTAGAGGAAACCCTAAGATTACAATTTTAATCTATGGTGACAAAATATATATCCTCAGATGGCTGGAGCAGGGATTGATTGGGCAGAGGCATGAGGGAATTTTTGATGATGGATATGCTTTAGATCTTGGATGTGTTAGTGGGTAGTCTGTATACATTTGTTAAAATTCAAATATATAAAAAATTATATAGATTTGTAAAAAAAATCACTATACTGTAAGATTAAAATAGGTTTATTGAGGTAAAATTTATCTCAATGAAATTTAAAAAAAGGAAGAAAAGAAAAAGCCCACTAGGGCTAATGATTTTGCTCTGCTCAGTGAGATCCTTTCTTACTTGCAAACTAACAAGTGAGCCAACCAAAGTTTTACAGATGCTTACAGAAGACACAGGACTGCTGGTTCAGAGAAAAGGGAGTTTATTTCTCACAGCACAGTGGGCAGCATGAGGTTCTTGTTTGTGTTGGGTCCTCTTACCACCCAAGTTCCACAGGACCAGTGCAGTAAGCCCAGATGGATGCTGTGGGTTTGTGTCAGAGCTGAGACACGCTGACTTTAGGCAAATCATTATCTTCTAAGAGGCTGCTAAAAACTCTGGCCAGCATTTTTTCTGGAGAATAACATCTCTATTATCCTGTTCAGGGAACAAATCTGTTCTCTGTTCCAAAAGAAGACACTATCTTAGTTCCCTCAGGCTATTGGCCATTTAAAAATTCTCAATTAGATGTGACTCTGTATAAAAGGTGTCACAGAGGGTATAAAAATGCCATGGAGAATTATCTCCTGACAGTCCTCAGGGACCCAGACTCCTATCTTGCGGCTCTGCAAGATATTCATGCTCATTCCCAGTATGCTTCATGGTTTTAACTGGCTGTTAGTTAGATCACTATTACAGACAAGAAGTAGTAAAAGGGGAAGAAACGCAGTCTTTAAGGACAATCTTTAAGGATACTCTCTGGAAGCTG